ATCATGTAATGCAGCGTTGACTCCTACGTTTGAACTCTAAACGTGGGTCTTGGCCTTTGTGTTTGAGCTTTATAATGCATGTCTTGACTCCCGCGTTTGAACTCTAAACTTGGGTCTTGGCCTTCACGTTTGAGCTTTATAACACATGTCTCAACTCCTGCGTTTAAGATTTACAACACAATGTTGGCCCTTGTATTTAAGTTTTAACACATGGGTCTTAACCTCTGTGTTTTTAGTTTCTTCTTTTGTATTTATGTCAACAACTTGCTTTAGCTGCTAATCTTTGCTTTTGACTTTGCAGTGTTCTTTCCGAATGTGCCGCTTTCGCAGGAGCATCATTTTGGATACATTGGCGGTCCTGACAAGAATGAAGTTTTTAGTCTTCACGGAAGAATTCCGTTGTGCACTTTCCCTAATTCAGAGAGAACACACATGATCAAATTTCCCTTATGCTCTACTCTTAGAGCTTTGATCACCGACTTAGATCTGGAGACTCCTGCCGGCCATGATCAATTCTCTAAACCGGCGTTCATATTTGGAGATCATATAGCAGCCGATGACAATCTTATATATGCAGAAGATTCAAAGCTACTACGGAGAGTCAATAACCAATTCCTATTTCTCCCAAATATAAAGAGGATGTATCCACTCTCCTAGTTCTTGAACATAAGCTGTAGCCGAGGTTTGACTTTTGATCTAGTCAAGGAGAAAGAAAATGTGTCGCTTGGATTTGGTTGACAAGATCGCACACAAATTGGGGGACAACTCAAGGGTTTGAGGCTCGCCTTATTTGAGAAAAAAGATCTTGCTCAAGAAGTGTCACTTCCAGCGAATGTCTTCATTTGCTAGTTCATTGCGGCTCAGGGTGAATTCCCTGTGCAAACGTTCAGATCCCCAGGATGGGTTTGTTCTGGAGAAGGGGGGGTGGTAGACCCGGATGGTGGATTTTATTCTTGAGGAACTTAAGGAATCGCTCACTCAATCGGGTCTCACAATCCCGGTGTTGGCTTCTCGACGTGGGATTGTTCAAAGTTATCCCAATTTCTTCACCATGCTGGAGAGATACAACCCAAATAGCTGCACATTCTTCATACCTGTAGGGGAGTTAGGCTTCGCTCTCCATGAGATGCAAGTGGTATCGGGGTTGCCATTCGGTCGGATGCCCTATAAGAATTCATCCCCCCCACTGAAGAGCTCTCTCTTTTGAGGGCGACACACCCAGAAGTTTATGCCACATTTTGGGAGCTGATGTGCCACTTCCACATATGTGCTCAGGTTGTTGGGATGCGCGGAGGAGGTCTTATGCATACTGCATGGGTGGACTATCTCTTTCAAAACTTAGGTTAGAAAGATAAGGCCATGACCTGACTTGCTGCTATTTCTACTAAAAGCGTTAAGGCCCAAATTAAGGCTTCCAATGCTATTTACAAGACTGAGCACATAGAAGATGGGTTTGAGGCTGGTGTCAAATTCGAGAGTTTTCACTACCAAACCACAGCTCCTATTTCTGACGTGGCTCTTCTCGCTGGCTTCCTCATGATTTGGTACGGTGTGTAGTACCATCGAAGCCAGTCAAAGCGATATTAGCTGAGGTTGTGTACCCAGCTATTTTATTAGCTCATGGGAGGCTAGTGAGCCATCTCACTGCTATGGTAGGCTGCGTACAAAGTGGCTTACGGACGTTGACCTCTGAACTTGTCGGCGCCTAGGGAATTAAGGTTACTGGGAGGAAAGCTTGGAAAACTCCCAAACCACATGTACCAGTACTATATACGTACTTGGTGGTCTGGTTCGCACTGCATTGCCCTTCGTTGATGACAGAGGTTGCTGAAGAAAATGAAGCTCATATTCCCTTTATACAGAGATTGGAGTCGGCCACATGGACTAATACCTACATAGTCAAGGCTCGACAACTTTTGTCTCGGGAAGATAATTACCAAATTTTCTGTTGCGCTCCCGACTTCGATGGAGCTAAAGAAGAATGCACAAGCTTTACGGATGTGCTTTCCGACGTCTCGTCATCTTTGGAAGAAGGCACCTTCAGGTGTCTCCTCATGATCATATTGGGTTATCTGGTCTTTCACTTAAGGGAGAAGTGCGTCATTGAACCTTACATGCCGTCTCGATTCACCAGGCAATTTGGATATGATCAACTTTATGTTGGAAATCCTAACCCGGGATTGGCCCAAATTGGGAATTTGTATGAAGGGGCCTGCGCATGGTACTTCTTCTCTGCCGGAGGGACTCACGCTCACTTCACCTTACCCAATTCACCGCCCGGTTGTTCCACCGTTGTGGACTTTCACGATTGGTTTAGTGAGGCTTCTCGAATCCCAGAATATGATGTATACACTTTATGCATAGGCGAGATTCAAGAATTATATAAATTGAGAAGCGGTTCCACTAAGACTCGTTTACCGGGGATAGAGGAGTATCTATCCTATGAACGAGAAGCAGCTGGAGTTGGAGAAATCCCAAAGGAGTTACCAGCTACTGAGCCTTCTGAAGAAGAGGGCCACTAAATAAATTATTAAGGGAGTACCCGCTCTTGAGCCTCGCTCCTTAAGATCATCAGGGAAGAAGGTCCTTACTGCTGAAGAAGAAGGTGAATATGATAGAAGAATTCGCAAGCGAAAGCCCATTGCAACCAAGAACTCTAAGAGGGCTAAGTTGATGGGGGATGCCATGAAGTCTGCACCTGTCGCGCTCTTGACTGACAGAGAGGACGAAGTGCTTCGCAAAATTCCTTCCATTCCTAAGGGTACATGAGCCGAAGAGATGTTGCCCACTAGGGGTTTAGAATCTGCTTCATCTCCTCTACTCTAGGATCAGGGTACACATGAAGACTTTCCTTCCGAGGCTGTTCCTCAATCTACTCGTAATGAATATACAGGTCTGATCTATCCAACTGCTCCTCCCCCACATTCGAGAGCTTTGAGAGAGTGTATTAGACAGCTAGAAATGAAAATGCAGTTTATAATTGATATTGTTAGCTTAGGGTAGGTCCCCTTTGAGCGTTTCAGACCCCTCTTGACTCAAAGCTTAACGGATATCAGAAGTCATGGGAATGCGTTATGGACTACGAACTGCACGGAAGGTATCATCATTTTGGAAATGGAATTAGAGATGCTTTCGATCCTTCAGCGCAATGATTTGGGCGAAGAAGTGGACCATGCACTTTCTGCAGCTAGAGTTTCGAGAGCACAGCATCATGAAGTTCTTCAAAAGAGCTTATACGAGAAAGAGTCTCGTACTGCCAGCCTACGTGAGGAGCACCTTCAAATACAAATAGACATGGGCAGCCTCGCTATGAGTATCCGGGATGCTGCAGCAGAATTCGCTCGCATGGGTGTTGAGCTATCACAGAGGAATGCCCAGCTGGCTGATGATATGGAAGTCATAAAAGGGTTAGCTGCTCACTGTGATAGGCTTCTCAAAGATTATTGCAATGAGATCGTCGCTGCCGATAAGATTCGACGAGAGATTGCAGAAGCAGCACCTAATGAAGAGGAACTCAGGAGCAAGATAACCGAAGAAGTCAAAAAGGCTCGTGAGAAGAACATATCAGCGTTGAAATCCAAGCTCAAGTCCTTTAGGCTGATGGGCCCTGATACTTAAGATTTGAATTGCTTTTAGTTGGGGAATAATTTTGTATAATTTTTATTTTAATTATCGTCACTTTGTATCGAATTAACAACATTGAATGAAAATGATATCATTTTGTCTTTCATTGTCTCTCTTGTTGAATCCTAATTTAGGACAATGAAAAGTAATGCAAATGTCGTAAGTGTAGTGTTAACTTAGCATGAACTCGAAATTCTCTTTATTATCACTTAGAATAATTCCAGAAAATTTCAATCGTCAGAGGTGTAGTGTTAACATGACGACATACGAAACAGGAAAATTAAACATTTATTCCTGAAATACACTCTGAATTGGCAACCCCCAGCCTGACTTGACTGAAGTTTGAGAGAAAAAGAGGGGGCTACATGACTTACGGGAAGTTCCTTGACTTACGGGAAGTATCTCTTAAGGAACTTCCCGTTAATTAGCATCATGAGCCTGTCTCCTTTTTTATCGATGAGGTGATAAGCTCCATTCGAATAGACTGATTTTATTACAAATGGTCCTTTCCATTTGGGGTTAAACATCCCTTTGATTTTGTGTGTCATCACCATGGGTCGTCTTACGGCTAAGACCAAATCGCCTTTCTTAAATATCCATTCTCTAACCTTTTTGTTATAGGCTTTAGAAATCCGGGCTTGATACAACTCGATCTGCTGCTGAGCTTAAAGTCGCTTGTCGTTTATGGCTTCAAGTTCCTGAAAGCGCAGTTGATGTTTTTCTTCCTCTGTCATTCCAGTTGCAATAGCAACTCTCAGGGAAGGGGTCTGAATTTCTAATGGTAGCACGGCCTCACAACTGTATACCAAAGAGAATGGCGTAGCTTTTGTAGGGGTCCTTACCGTTGTGCGGTAGACCCATAGACATTCACCGAGTCTTTCATCCCAATCGTGTCGGCTCTTGGAAACAAACTTTTTGAGAAGCGTCACGATGGTCTTGTTAAAAGCTTCTGTGAGGCTATTTTCTAGTGGATAATATGTCGTAGATGCAATACTTTGGATTCTAAACTTATCACAAAATCTCTAAAATCCAAAGCTAACAAATTATGTCCCGTTGTCATGAACTATTCATCTCGGGACTCCAAAGCGGTAAATGACATGCTGTTTAATGAATTTAATCACATTCGAACTCTTGACTTCTTTCAGCGGGATTGTCTCCGTCCATTTGGAGAAGTAATCGGTCACAGCTAAAATAAACCGGTGTCCTTTGGAAGTCAGAGGTGAGATTGGTCCCACGACATCCATACCCCACATTTCGAATGGCCAAGACATAGATGTAGGATGTAAGTTCCCTGGCGCTTGATGGATAAAGTCACCATAAATTTGACACGCGTGATAATGTTTAGCGTAGTCAACTGCGTCTGAAAATATTTTTGGCTAATAATAGCTAATTCTTCGGAAGCGATCTCCCAACTTAGCCCCGGGTTTATGAGCTCCGCACATTCCGTTGTGAGCTTCCTTGAAGGCCTTTTTTGCTTCCTTTCGTGAGAAGCATCGAAGCAAAACTCCGTCATGTAATTTATGATACAAGATTTGAGAAACTGCATCGTAATAGAATATGAGGGCCTTTCGTTTGATCGCGGCCGCTTTCTTGGAATTGTCGGGCAAAATTCCATACACGACATAGTCGATGTACGGGAATCGCCAATCCCTAAATTCAAGCTCCATGGAGGTTGTGCAAACTTCTCCTGTCATTGTCTTGTCTGAACTTTCTTCTATAGGAAGCTTTGAATAATATAATTCGCTTTCGGTGACAGGAATCATTGTTTCAGCCCCTGGGAGCAATGCTAATGAGATCACCAATGAGGCTAAAGCATCTGCATAAGCATTTTGAGCTCGTGGAATATATATAATGAAGAAACCTTTGAACTTCTTAGCTTGCTTTAGCACCGTGAAGTAGTACGGGATCAGATCCTCGTGACACATTTCGTATTCTCATCGGACTTGATTTATGATCAACTGAGAGTCACCGTAAGCCTCGAGAAGTTGAATGTTAAGCTCTTTGGCAAATTGCAGTCCTAATAACAGAGCATTATACTCAGCTACATTGTTGGTGTAGGGCTCAATCAGGGAAAAATCCCCTTGGGATCACGTGACCGTGTGGAGATGAATACTACTCCTACTCTCGCAGTAATTGCTCCATGAGGATTTGCTCTAGATGCACCATCAAAGAATAACTTCCACACTTGCATAACTTCTTGAGTGACGCAAGTTTCGGCAACTTCATCGGGTAATTCTTCATACAGCTTAGATGTCCCTGGCACCAGGTGATCAGCTAGGAAATCCGCCAACACTTGACCCTTGACTGCTTTTTGGGGCATAAATTGCATGTCATATTGTGCCAAGAGGATTACCCATTTTGCTAGCCGACAATTCAGAGATGACGGTTTCGTCATCAGGACTCTCAAAGGATTTACCTTAGAGATGACATGGATTGTTTGTCCAATCAGGTAGTGTCGCATCTTTTGGATGGCGAATACCAAAGCGAGATATTCTTTTTCCACCGGATTATATCGGTGTTCAGCTCCCATCATAGTTTTACTTAAGTAGTAGATGACTTGCTCTTGCCCTTGGTCATTGTTTTGGGCTAATAAAGCTCCAAGAGAATGGTCCATGGCTCTCACATATAACAAGAATGGTTTTCTTGATATGGGGGTCACAAGAACCGGCGGTTGAGTGAGGTATCTCTTAATCTCCTCAAATGCTCTTTGATAGTTTTCATCCCAAACGAACGATACTCCCTTCTTCATGAGCTTAGAAAATGGTTGGCATCATCCCGAGAGATTTGATATGAATATTCGGATGTAAGCTAGTCTGCCTTGCAAACCTCTAAGTTCTTTGAGATTCTTCGGAGGTGGCATGCCTTGGATAGCATGAACTTTCTCTGGATCAAGAGAAATTCCCTTGGATATAACTATAAATCCCAGAAATTTTTCGCTCGATACCCCAATGAATGATTTTGTCAGATTCAACTTCAGCTGATGTGCTCGCATGATTTCGAACATTGTCTTCAGGTCTGTAAGATGATCACCTTTGTGTTGGCTTTTCACTGTTATGTCGTCAACGTAGTATTCAATCTTCTTACGCGGATATTTGTGAAAGATGGAGTTCATTGCACATTGAAGTTACACCTGTGTTTTTCAATCCAAAGGGCATCACTGTATAGCAATATACCCCTAGTGGTGTTCTAAAAGCAGTATGCTTTTCGTCCTCAGGATACATCTTGATCTGATTATACCCAATGAGCTTAGAAAATGGTTGGCATCATCCCGAGAGATTTGATATGAATATTCGGATGTAAGCTAGTCTGCCTTGCAAACCTCTAAGTTCTTTGAGATTCTTCGGAGGTGGCATGCCTTGGATAGCATGAACTTTCTCTGGATCAAGAGAAATTCCCTTGGATATAACTATAAATCCCAGAAATTTTTCGCTCGATACCCCAATGAATGATTTTGTCAGATTCAACTTCAGCTGATGTGCTCGCATGATTTCGAACATTGTCTTCAGGTCTGTAAGATGATCACCTTTGTGTTGGCTTTTCACTGTTATGTCGTCAACGTAGTATTCAATCTTCTTACGCGGATATTTGTGAAAGATGGAGTTCATTGCACATTGAAGTTACACCTGTGTTTTTCAATCCAAAGGGCATCACTGTATAGCAATATACCCCTAGTGGTGTTCTAAAAGCAGTATGCTTTTCGTCCTCAGGATACATCTTGATCTGATTATACCCAGAGAATCCATCCATGAAAGACATCCTCTCATATACGCAGGTGTTGTCGATCATGACGTCCGTGATGGGGAGTGGAAATTCGTCTTTTGGACAAGCTGCATTGAGGTCACGAAAGTCAATACATATTCAGACCTTACCGTTTTTCTTAGGAACTGGAACAATATTAGCAACCCAGTCCGGGTGTTGTTCCTCTCTGACAAAGCCTGAGTCTATAAGCTTTCTGACTTCTGACTTAATTGCTTCCATGATCTTTGGACGAAACCGACGTTGTTATTGTTTAAAAGGTTTTGCATCCGGATCAATGTTGAGACGATGGATGGCTACTTTTGGGTCAATGCCAGGCATATCTTCGTAATTCCAAGTGAAGACATCTATATATTCTCGGAAAAGAGATATAAGATCCTCTTTCTCGGATGGTGATAAGCTTTCACTTATGAAGACAGGCTTAGGGTCGGATTCATCCCCCATATTGACCTGGATCACTTTATCTTCAGTAGTCGGTTCGCGTTGTTCGAAACGCATATCCCACAAGATGTTAAGGCGTTTGATCTAGTGATCATTGGTTGATTCAGTCAATTCTTCGTCCCCCCTGCCTCTTCATCTGGATGACTAGTTGAAACCATGTTCACGGTCAAACTTCTAAAGAAAGGTCCAACGCTGACATCGGATTCCCACGATGATGTTCCAGATGAATGATCCCGACATAGACAGTTACTGGCTTCATTTTCTGAAAGGGAGGGAGTTGTGACGTAGCCCACACCTCTTTTAGTTTTTTGATAATAATCTGGAGGTTTTCCTTCAGGAGTGAGAGACATTCGGATGGTCATTCGCCTTCCTTTCCCGAAGTTTAAACCATGTTTTTCATTAAAGTTGTATTCTATTCGTTTCATCAGATGTATAGAATTAGGCTCATGGTAATGGAATTGAGGAATCCCATTATCTTCTTCTAAATTTTCTTATTTGAGTAATTCAGGTTTAACTTTACCGAAATGGATCGGCTTCTGCCCTTTCCTTTTGGATGGGACTTTAAAGAAAGCCTTCTGGGTATCTTCTATTTCTTCATCTGAAACGAAGGATGACTTAATCAGCAATGCGAGAGATACCTCTACGCACAATATGTGCCATGGGTCGGTACATGTATTAAGATTATTCTCTATTTGTTTATTTTTAGAGGACACATCAGACAAGTACGCCAAAATAAAATCTTCATTAATGCACCACACGCCCTCACTCGGTACATTATTATTATTCTCGACCTGACCCATTACATTTAAATTCAACTCTCATGGACAATCTTCTTCAGGGTCTGGCTCGACGTCGGCTTCATTACCACTGTCAACATCTTCTTTCTCCTGTGATTCTGAGTAGAAGATAGAATCCGTATGGAAATTTTCCACTCCTCTGAAGGGGTACTTTTCTGCAATCAGGGTTCAAACTTCTACTTCATCATTAGCATACTTCATGACTTGATACAGGGTAGACGGGATAATGCGGTTCGCGTGAATCCATGGCCGTCCTAACAATAGATTGTAGGACGTGTCCGCGTCTATGATGTAACATGTCACATCGAACTTGAGATCCCCGATTTAACACCTGAGCTTGATCTTCCCTAGAGGTCGGGTATGATTGGCGTTGAATCCGAAGATAGTGGTCTGGTGGTGTTCAACCGATGCATGGGAATCCCTAAGACCCGCATGACCCTGTAAGGCATGATGCTAAGTGCTGAGCCTGGGTCAACTTGAACACGGCTGATTTCTGAGGACCCAATATACCCTGTGTAGTACAAAGGTCTGTCATACTTGTGTTTTACTTGCATATCTTCCTGAGTGAAGGATATGCAGGGTAAACTTCTTGCTGCCTGTAGACACTGTATACAAGACTGGCTTTCAGCAGCTTCAGGGATCGGAGTGACTTGAGTAATAAAGCTCTCCGTGTTCTTCAATGCTTCAATTACTTGGTGGTTTTAGACAACCTCAGGAGCTTATATAGGGTAATCCTAGCCGGTATGTTTGCCAATTGTGCCATGACGTTGAACTGGAAGGGAGCGCTCGATTCCCCAACTTCTTGAAGAAGGTTCTTATTGTACCGGGTCTCCTTCTGTTTCCCTTTGTCAACTAACTTCTTGGGAACATAACCCCCAGCGTCTTGGTGTTGTTCTTTTGCTTCTTGAGCATTCAGATCGTAGTCTTTCAGGTAAGCTTTTCCTGATCGGGTGCCAGGATTGCCTCCTGGATATGCTGCAAGAATAATCCTTTCTTCCTTTGAGTCGGTGAGAGGTTTGAGATGATCATCATTCTCATTAAGGGAGGGGCTAATCATATTGGATGGTTTAACCTTGCCTCTCTTCTTTTTAGATGAGGTGCTCGTCCACTGTTGGTCTTCAACTAGGTCGGAATGGACCCACATGATCTCCCCTTTTAGGGTAGTGAGGGATACCAATCCCCTGTTCTTCTGACTGTGTAAGTCAGTGTTTTTCATGTGCATTTCCCCTTTATGGATGGGGATAACACCGTCTTTAGCTGCTATTGGAGGGAAATCACCAAACTGGACCACTATCAAATTTGTGGATACGGTCTTCTGCTCGGGCTTTAGTGTGAGCATGTTAGTATTCACCAGATTTTGTAAAATATCTTTGAAGACAACATTTTCTAGTAGGATGTCCCAAGAACCTATGATAACGACAGTAATTAGGGTCATCAACCTTTCCTGCTTCATCTGGTTTTCTAATCTCAAGGAGCTACAGTTTCTTGTTCTTCTGAAGTAGCTGGAACAAAGTGTCCACATGCTCCTCTTTGAATGAGTATTTCTTAGGCGCTCTTTGTTAGTTCGGTGCTTTGCCTGGTTTTGCAAGTGGTGTGCATGTGTTAGCGTCGGCAGCCAAAGTCTCCTTTCCCTTAGAGCGCAGAGCATTGTTCTGATTGCGTTGCTGTTGTGGCTTGGGTTGAGTAGCTTCTTTAGCCTTGACCCGAGCAACGATTTCTTCGACTTGTTCTCCTTACGAAACCAGTTGTCTCCAGGAGTAACATTCTGCTACCCCTGTTTGAGTGAGGAGTTGGGTCTACAAGTTATGCCTGCAAGTCTCAACCAAAGTCGATTGGGTTATACCTGATGGGCATCGTAATGCCATGCTGCGGAATATCTCAACATAAGTCTTGATGGACTCTCCCTTCCTCTGCTTGGTGGCGAGGAGGGT